AAGAAGAAGAAGAAGAAGAAGAAGAAGAAGAAGAAGAAGAAGAAGAAGAAGAAAAAGAAGAAGAAGAAGAAGAAGAAGAAGAAGAAGAAGATCATGCTGATAATAATGACCAATGCATCGTCTTGTTTTGAACTGGGGGAAGAGGTGTAATTTCGGTGGGTGTATTGAACTTTTTGAGGTGGGGAAAGGACGGTGGGGGTGCCTTTTTTTTGTTTTTGATTTATGGCTGTTGTTGTTGTCCTTGTTGTTGATTTTTGTTTTGTTTTGTTGGGGGCTTTTTTATCTTTTAAAAGCAGGTTTCTAGATTGGGTTGACAGCTGTTGTAAGCTTCGAAAAAGCCACACAGTTCACCCATTTTCTCGTTCACCAGTGACCTCAGCTACTCAGCTGTAGTAACGATGAGAGTTGAAAAATGTTATTGATACAATCTCGGAGACGAAGTAGGTTAATAAAGAGGTTTCAGAAAGTATGGTCCGTCCGGAAAAACGCGTGTGTTTCTGATCATTAATTTACCGGGGAAAAGCCACGGACAGCTGTATTTCCGCCTGACTATTGAGTATCGACTATCTTGGACCAACCATCGAGTTTTGACTGAACGCCCTCTCCCCTCCTCCCCTCCTCCCCTCTCCCCTCCCCCTAGCCTCTTGCCCTCTTCTGCCCCTCCCCCTCTTTACCCCTCCTCCTTCCTTCTTTTGTGCGCTTAAGTAAATATCATCACCACCTGCTTCAATTATAGCAGTTAGTTTAATTTTTCAAAGAGTGTAGCCCATCTTATCACGCAATTTTTGCTTTTATTTTTTGCACACAAGTTACCGTTACCTTTCCCTCTCTTACAGCTTGTGATGAACTCGCTCAAGTTGATCTTCTTAGGTTAAGTTGACCTTTTTCTCAAGTCCCAGCACCTCTTCTTCTTTACAGGTCCCAATGTTAATTTGAAGTTCGGATGAGTTGACTTTACTTTCACTCCCCCACGACATTAACTCATTCGTAATCTACTGTATAAGTTGAACCTGGCCATAACGTTCTCTCAAGATCACAGAACACAGTGGCCATCATATAATCACAGATAGCTGCTATTGACATGGTCTGAGTTATGTTCACTTAATGGACTTGACAAAGTCAACAAAGGGTTTAAAATCTGAAATCTTGGTTTTTATCTTTTAATTTCATAGCTATTGAATTTTGTATCTTTCGTACGAGCTTCTTTGCATGCACTGATTGAACGTACACACACACTTATAATCTGAGGATGGGTTTGCGGAAAAGTTTTTGTAGCGAGTAACCATTAAGCAGGTTTTGAGGTAGACTTGTTGCCAAAATGACTGACCATTTCCTTTGGGGACAGGAACTGCTATGAACAGGTTGAAAATATAGAAAAATGTAAGGACGCCACGCATGGAACATTGGAGAGGTGACCGCTAAGGTCGGTTGACTGAAATTGGTTTCGTCCCTGCCAGCTTGGGTCTATGGTAGTGCTGGGCAGCTAGGTTCCCGATTATAAAGCTAGGAATCGTAGGAATCGACTCCGAACCCAATTACTTACTCTCTAATGATGTGATTTTTTCCGGTGGTTACCGGATTGGCTCCGAACATCTTTAGGATTTAGGCAAGGACTACTATACTCATATAGTATAGTAGTCCTTGGATTTAGGATAACTGTGATTTCGAAAACCCTACGAAGAACCTACTTTTATATTTCTAAAATAAATTCTTTAAAAAAGAGAAGATATTATAAAAGTAACCGGTAACTGTTGGTTTACGTAAAAAGGAGACGGAACTTTACTTCCGTAGTATTAATCATGGGGATCGGTTCCGGAATCGATTCTTCGCCCAGCTCTAGTCTATGGTGTAACAGGTAAGCCATGCGAGTTCAGTTCCCATGTAGGGAGGGTCTTTTTCATCGTGTATCATTGTCTGTCTGCGGAGAATCACTGAGATTTTGTATCGCTTTCAGCACAGGTTGACACCTTATAAGTAAACTCGAAGCAGCCCGCCCCCTTAATGATCTAAATGGTGCCGATGGGGCGTAAATCCCCTTGTTTGTTTTCTCAATTCCCAAGTTTCCTTTTTTAAGGTGCAAAGTGTCATCACTGAGGAGTAAAAGATGGGAATCATGTAATATTTTAGTTCTACCAAATTGTGCTAAACATCTGCAATTACACAGTCCCTGTCATTATTTTTATTGCCCCCCCCCCCCCCCCCACACACACACACACTCACAGGTTCCGCCTTCCTCTGATTGCCAAGCTTGTGTTTGGCCGAATCCCGCCCACCCCATGCGCCTTCACGGGCACAATGCTCATTGCCGAGTCGGGGATAGATCGGACAGTGGTCGCCTCCACTCTCTTCAACCACAGGTAAAAGTTGGTCTGGGTTGTTGGTAGGTGCTCTGGTGTGGCTTTCTTTCCTATCAAACATCTATTGTCCTTATCTCTCCTCGTTTTTTATATGTTACTGTCTAATAATCTTTGGCACTTAAATTATTTAATTGTGTTACAAGCAGGGGCGAAGGCTGACTTGTTTGACACGGTAATCAAAGTGAAACGGAACCAGATATTATGGCCTGGGGACATCACACAAGAAGATTACTCGAGGTGGCGAGTCTTAAGTTGTGTGAATGAAAACAAATCCGGAATTCAACCGCCAAAATAATCGGGAAAGTATCTCATTAAATATCAATTCCAACTAAAATTAAACTTAACATTAGAAGTGAATACACAAACCCAAAGCAAGGAAGCAGAGATGTCAGTACTAGATCTATAATATGTTGTAGAGATACCAGGGAGTCGAACTCGTTGGTAGAACATGACAATTATCATTTTTTTAAATTTCACTTTTGGCTGTTTTTTTGTCTAGGCCTAGCTTTTCGCGGCCAGGAGCCGGTGTCATAATCGAGGTCACGATCTGGTTATAGGACGTTAAAAAGTCGAGGAAAAAAAACAAGCACAGGCAGCAGTAAAGAGATTATTAGGAGTTAGTTCTCCTCACATCTGTAAGGTAGACTCGACCAGTGTAATAGTTCACTTACATAATCAGTGCTTACGACTGATTATAACTGTGGCCCGAAAGGGGTGAACAGGGTATATGTGGCAATGAAACAGTATTGACTGCTATGCACGTATTCCCTTCAACTCTATTGGTATACTCTTCCAGCCTCACTTTAAGCTTATTTAATCAAAGCTTGTGACTGCTTATGGAGTGGCCCGAGAGGGGTGAGCAGGCTATTTCGGTGGCAGTGAACCCGTTTTGAATGTTAGGCATACTGTTCATTGTTGATTATGAACGTCTTTTAACATTTAATTCATAAGGTTTACGTTTATGGGTGAATTTGACTGCTACAACGTTTCAAAATTAGAAAGGGAAGCAGTGATTATTTGATTCTATAGACGCCTCGCCACTGGTTACAAGTGCCGTAAACATCCCACTTAAACTGAATTAAAGTTTTTGTGTTCATCTTTTATCTGGTTCTTTGCTTCTTTTCAGTAGTTTAATTACAGGGAATTGACTTGATGTGACAGGGAATCTTAATATCTTCGACTGTTTCTTTTCTTGTCTTTTTTTTACCTGTGTGTTTGTGCATTTGAGTTGGAAGAAAGCAAGTTTATTATTAAATACTTCTTCTTACTGGGTACTTAGACGTTGCTTCTTTAATCTTCTTGCAGTAAAGCACTCTAGCTCTTTCCACTTTGCATGCTTGAATTGTTTTGGTTACAAGCACTATGTTTTACAAATCGAGGAAATTACAATGGACTAAATAAGTATGTAACACTTTGAAGTTGTGCAAGGCTCTTGTCCACCCCTACCCCCATCTCCCTAGCCTATTCTTCTCCATTCGTCCCTCCCCCCCTCCTCTCCACAGCACAGTACACCACACCACACCACACCACACTTCTGCCGTCATTTTAAAAAATGCAGTATAGATCTATGCAGTTTTTTCAGTTTTACTGGAGAGCAAAAAAACACAGAAAGACCCAAACTGGATATTGTTACCAAGAAAATAAACTCTTTGCAAACACCCCCAATTCAACATTTTAAAGAATAAAATTTTGATGATAACGCCCTTATTATCTTTAAAGAAAATTTTGTTTTTATTGGTAACAGCATTTAGTTGTTTTGCTCACCTGTAGAGTTGTAAAAACTATTGTTTAAATTGATGACAGGCTTACAACGCCATAACTTGGGCTGTCTTTCATGTATGCACTGCGTGTATTTTACTCTATCACTGTCTTTCTTTCACAGGAACGTGAATGTAGAACTGCCTGTGAGCTCAGGACTCAAGTTCTTCGCTGTGGAGCACACGCCGGGCTTGCTGGGAAGTCGTGCCTATGAGAAAGCTCTCTCTTTTTGCACACTGAACTGCGACACCTACATACGCAGCATGAAAGTTGACCAGAGTTATAAAAAAATGGGCAATGGGAAACGCTTATCCATGATCCAGTCTTCTCAGACTAAAGACGAAGAGCAGCGGGCGGGTGCCGGTTCTGCGTCCAGTAGCTCACAAGCACAAAGTACACACTTTAGCTCTGCCTCACAAGCTCTGTCCTCTTTGACTGGATCAAAAGACAGTTCTGTGGGACTAGTGAGGTGGGCAGACATGACCAATAAGGTCTCAGTTGATGACATGGAGCACACAATCTATGTCCCATCCCCGCACGAGACACTCCCGATGGTGAGAAGTCCATCCAAGAGTAAAGAAAAAACTCCTAGAAAGGACACGGCTGCCTCTGTTGAACTCAATGAAGACACTGTTGTCAAGAAACTGTTGACGTACCAGAAACCTGACCCGAACGAAGATGAGATACCAATACGGGTCCGATCAGGCAAAATCTCTAAAGGAAAATCCTCTTCACAATTTAAGAAGAAAGAGTCTGTTAAATATGAGACTATAGGTGAAAGCAGTACTGACCAGTCTAAGGAAACTGGGTCCGTTAAATATGAGTCAATCGGCCAATACAGCACTGACAGGTCTTCAAAGGACAAGATTGAGGACAGTGTGTACGAGATCACCTGGACAGGGAGTTCAGATGGTCAGCCATTGGCAAGTACTGACAGCATCTCAGGTCCAGCAAGGAATTCAGCTAAGAGCCCTCGTGACCGTAAAACAGATTCTGGGTATTCCGTAGCCAAGGTTCCAGAGAGCTCCTATGTCGTCATGAATACCCCTGGGCTCAAACAGTCCGCTCAGGGGTCTCCTGATACACCCGACAAAAAGAAGAACATTCAAACAAAACAGCTGCCTTTGCAAAAAACAAACAATGAAACTGACGGAAATGACTCTCCAGTACTCACTCCCATTTCACCTCTCCCACCAGCATCCTCTCCACCAATACTACCCCCACCATCAACATTCGCTCCACCGCCACCAACGGGAATCCAGCCAAAGTTTGTTAAAAATCAGGAAAGTGCAAGTGAGAGTCCGGCATTACCGCCTCGAAATGATGGAACGAAGGGAAAATTTGTCGCCATGCACTGTGAGGCTCTCTCCCCGCCCCCTGAAGACCTCTATGAAGGTGAGAGTGAGACACCTCTTTCTGTAACTGGAGATGGGTCCTTTGTGGACGACACCATTTATGAAGACCCCATAGACCCATATGACAATGGAAATGTCTTGATATATCAAAATTTAGGTAACCTGAGACTAATAGAACCAGGGCCAGAAGTTTCAGACTTCAAGCAAATTGAAATGCCGATGGACTACAACCAGCTGTCTATTGCTAGTTATAATGTAAATGCGTATCAGGCCTTTGGAGATCCAGGTAGTGTAGAAAATACATACTTGAACGTCAGATCGGGCACACTGCGAGACAAAAGGGGAGAAAATCTCTCACCTATTTATCATGAAATTGATGGCCCTTATAGCAAGCCTGATGTGGAATGGCCTACTGATCGCGTTTCTGTAGACTCGTCACAGAGTAGGCCTTTCTCATCCTCTAGTTCCAGGGCTGACAGTGGCATCTATTTGAACACACCAGAAAACTCAGATGGTTCACGAACCAATAGTGGCATCTATTTGAATTCTGCTGAATACCATGATGGTTTGAGCTCTGCAGGAGGGGTGATTGAGAAAGATGAAAATGACAATGTTTCTTCACCTACTGAGGTACCATCATCAAATGTTCTTCAGGAACTGAAGAAAAGGTTTGAAGGAAAGAAAAGCACGTCTTCCTCCGGGAAGAACTCAAATAGTGTTCATCAAACTTCTTCACCTTCACTCTCAGAGAAAGCAAAAGGATCTTTCAGAGCTGCTCCATCAGCTGTCAACGCAGGTGACAAGTCTGTCTCCTCTCCTGTAGGCAGAGGTAAACCATCTTCCACCTCAACACCAGATAGAGGGCAGCTGTCAACTAAACAAAACCTTTCTCAAGAGAACCAGTCTTCTGAGGAGCCCCAGCGCAGTCCCTGGGACATACAGCTGAGGAAGACACAGGCGTCTACTAACACAGCCCAGCCCAAAAACTCAAAGAGCCCTCCTGTGTCATCCTCATCTGCAGTTTCGTCTCCTGAAAAAATAAATTCCATGTCATCGAAACCAAGCACACCAGTGTCGTCAGCTCAAACTAAACAGCTTCCAGAATCTTCTTCTCGTTTTGTTCCAGGGCCTCAGACTCCAAAGAAGCCGCAGACGACAGCAGCATCATCATTTACAGCGGCAAGAAACACACCTACAGCCACCGCCTTCTCACAAGGACAAAAACCCACTGCAACATCTCCAACTCATGAAGGGGATTTTGCGGGAGTGACAAATTCGTCATCACAACAAGACAACGATGACGACTCTTCCAAGCCAAATCCGTGGCTGAATTTGAAGAAAAAGCCAACACCAGCAAAGAAACCATCTCCAGCAAAACAAGCGCCTGACTCTGGCAAGATGTTCACAAAAATAGGGGAGAGGAATCAGATCATGAATGTCCTTGAGTCTACAGGTGGGCTCAAACCACAGACCATATCAGTTCTCAAGGGATTCAGGCCAGATGAGAGAGGTAAGATTCTTAGCGGGGACTTAGAAGTAGATGAGTTGCAGCCCTTACTTCCAACTGTTGGTATTTTTGAGTTGAATAAACTGAAATCATTTTTGAAAAACCACAAAGCAAATTAATAATAAAAGCACTATATTGTTATGTCATTTTCCTGTTACTGCTATTGTGGATGGATGCTCGTGTTTGCTGAAAGATCAATTCCTAGAAACACCAGGGTTTGATTATACAAATTGCACGGTGCTGTTATAGTACAAATCAATTCACAATTCAGTTCATAAGCAGTCTTCGCACTGATACCTTCTCAGTAGTGCCATCAACGGTTTTGAAACAAATATGTTTCAAATTGCATTTCCCATTTTTGAAAAAAATTGTCTTGCTTCAAGGCGAGGGGGGGGGGGGAGGTGAAAATAGTTTGTACTTAGAGGACCCTGGGCTTGGCTCCTAAAAAGGTCAGTGCATTGTTTGATAAGATGCATGTTTATATGCGTTTGTACCTGTATCTAGATTAGAATCGATGCAACGGCCTTAAACATCTTGCTCTCAGTGGAGAAAAAAGGAGACAAAAGAGGAAGACCAAGAACAGCTTACTTCAACTTCAAAAGGAAGGGAACAGATGGCTTTTTGGAAAAAGCCAAGATAATACGGTCTAGCATGCACATAGCAAAACACGCACATTGGGAGCGGATTTTGAGGTCCAATTTTTTTTCTTGTACCTACATGTATTTTACTTTCTTTGAGTTTAACAAAATCTATACCTACATAACAACAAGATTTCCGTGTCCCACGAATTTCGCTCTGTTTGTGTTACACTGTAAAAAATCCTAAGATCACCTAAGCTGAGGAATGAGTGGTGAACTATGTTGGCCGATATCTGTTTCAGATCTTGCACTTGATGATGATCTAAATTATTTTGGTCCTCCGTTTATGCAGGCCTTTTCCAAATGCAGATGATAGATTTGTGTCCCTTAGAGTGGATGTTTTTTTCTCTTTTCACCTCCTCCCCCTCCTCCTTTTCTTCCCCCCCCACCCACCCCTCCGCCCACTTCTCCTCCTCTTTCTCCGTATCCTGCTTCTCCACCTCCTCCTTCTCATACTCCTTCTTTACTCATCTTCCTCCTCCTCCAGCACCCCCAGCTCCTCCTCCATCATTTCACCTGTGCTCAGTGCAGGTACACATTTCAAGATGCGTATTGGAGTGATTGGTGATTGCTACAATTTACTTTGTACAAACAAAATGTTAGTAAGTAAGGGCAGTTTTATCAATATGTTACACCAATATTGCTTCGTTTCTTCATTGTGTATTATATCCATTACTGTGCTTACTTTATTTTCAGACGCTTTTGGGGGTTATTAAAGTGTTTTTAGACACCCCCCCCCCTCCGGCCCCACCCGCGTTGTATGTATGGACATTAGATTACATTGTATTTGATGTTGTAGTTGTTGTTATTGGTGCATTTGTTACTGTTGAAACTAATGTTGGTGTCAGTGATATTTTGTTGCTGTTATGCAATTGTTGTTATTGATAATATGCCGATGCTGCAGTTGTTGCTATTGAATACTTTTTTGTTCTTGTAGCAATTATTACTGAAACTGCCCCTTGTTTTTAGCCTGTTTTTTATATTTTATTTTTCTGTCGATATTTTTACATCGTATGTATCATATTCATTTCATGGGAATTAGTGTTTCGTTTTACCTGACTTTCTAAATGATGAAAGTCTGTACTACATGTTGATGGGGTATACATACATAGCTTTGGCGGGTGGGGGGGGGGGGGGGGGGGTGCAGCTCTACCATTGATATCAAAGAACTGGGTGTTGTTTGGTGTCCGTTTGATATTTCACTTGACTTGTTTTTTGAGACTGTAGCCATTGTTGTGATTATCCGCCCAAAACTAGGATTAGCCTCAAAAGCTCCAATTTTGGCTTAGGTAGATGGGTTGTTATTGTGAGAGTGAGCATCCAAACGATAGGGAGTAACTGTGGTTTTGAGGTTTACACAACACAACAACTGTATAGTTAACTAGTGCTGATATTTGTGTATACAGTCGAACCTGCCCTGACGGCCACCTCTATAAGACGACCACCTGTACAAACGGCCACTTTCCATTTCCCCCCTTGCGTTTTTTCTATATAATTTAACTGTGTAAAACGGGCACCTGTCCAACGCGGCCGCGGCCACAAAAATTTAACACACAACCCCTATAATACTAAGCAATAATACCTGTCTAAGACGGTCACCTTAGTGAATCCATTACGTTTTGTCATAAATTGTGCATTGGCCCCTGGCGTTGTGGGCGAGCCGTCATAATTCAATCACCTGTCGTTGTTGTTAGGTAGTCCCTCCAACTAGTCCAACCGATCATGTTGCGTAGGCCCCTCCCACTGTTGACCAATAGCTACCAATTTTGAGCTGCAGGTGAGTTAGCGTGTGATCCCACATAACCCATAAGCCCCGCCCAGAACTCATACACAAATCGTAAGTGAGATGAGTGGTTACTGTTTACCCAGTCTGTAACAAAGTAACAAAGGACGTCAACATGAACTTGTTACAGAAGCGTCCCTCCTTCTCCGAGTGGTGGCGACCCATGTGTTTGTTTTAACATGGCACTCGGTCTTCCTTGTCTGATACATTTCGTTTTATTGTCACCATTGTGCAAAATCAGCGACAAAATAAAAATTACAAACGAAATACAAACCAACAGCAACAACACCAACAAAGACAACAACAATGGGGCTACTTTCGATTGGGGCCTCAGATGGGAATGGTTTGTTTTCTTTATCTTGATCAGTCCTGCCTAAGACGGCCACCAGTCTTATGCGGCCACTTTTCTCCTTGACAATGGGTGGCCATCTTACACAGGTTTGACTGTATTATGGTTGTCTTCCTTTCTTTTTTTTTCCGTAGAAACGGTCACTCTCCTAAATTGTTTGTTTTTGGAGTGTGCCACTGGTAGATTATACTTCTTTATTTTCCTCGGTTGTTTCTGTCTATATCTGTCTTGCTCTTTCCCTGAACTGAATGACTCATTGTCCTATTGGGGGGACGGGGGATGAGGAGGCGGGTCAAAATGATGTTGCATCCCATGCATTAAACCCATGAAAGCTGAGCGTGCACTTGTTTTGTTTGTGCCATAAACGGACGTTTTATATATTTAGTAAAATTGTAAAATAACTGGCAGTGCAATTCTTGGCGATTGTGTAGATTTCCGCGTTAAATTCCGATACTACACGGGACATCTGACAAACTCTTTTATTCATATTTACAAGAATATATGTGGAAGCAACAATTTAAGGAAAACATTTTTGGCAATCTGTATTGGATTTCATTTTATTACTCTGTTTAACATTTTTGGCAATATTCTGTATTGGATTTCAGTTTTGGATTGGATTACTCTGTTTAATGGAGAGTTCTAGATCTAGATAGAGATATCTAGATCTAGGGCTTATAGGCCGATTAAAACTAGTATCGGAATTTAACGCAGAAATCTACACAATCGCCCAATTCTTTTTTAGTTTGAACGTCTCATTATTGAAGCCTTGGCTCAAATTTAAGTTATATCTCTTTGGTACTTCGAATTATCTCTGAAATACAGAACAGTATTCCTGTCTATCTACTGGCCTTTTGCATTTAATTGGATATTTGTTTGTCAGAGTCCCTTTTACTTTCTATTTAAAATATAATTATATATGTACCTTCTGTGTACGATTCTGAACCTATGGTTCAACATGTGAAAAAAATGTACAGTAAAAGAATGTATTACTTTTTTTTCTAGAATTTTTAATGTAGGTGTTTTTGCAACTCAATTAAGGTCATTTAGAGGCTGGGTTTGAGCTTGTTTGTTTGGGCCAGTTTGTGCTGACAGGGATGCAATGTCCCAGCAGACAGACCGAGATAGGCTACTTAATAAAGATTCTCCACACACGAGAAAAAGTTAAACTGCTACACTTCAAACGCCTTTATATATGGATAGTGTGTGTGTGTGTGTGTGTGTGTGTGTGTGTGTGTGTGTGTGTGTGTGTGTGTGTGTGTGTGTGTGTGTGTATGTGCGTGCGCCGGGGTCCTTTTGTGTATTTTAAAGAAAACGTTTCGCTTCTGACTGAAAACTCATCAGGCTCAGTGTTTGGGTTATGAAATACTCGGTGCTCTCATCTTTTTAAGGATTTTTTTTTTCGCTATGGTTCACGTCTTTTTAACCTTGCTCACTCTGTACATATCCTTTAAAACTTTAAATGTTGACATGTTTTGACTGCCTCTGAAATAAATTTACCGTGTTGAAACAAGCATTGACTTCATACCATACGCTGCCATATACCACACCACGCCACGCCACGCCAGGCCATGCACACCACACCACACCACACCACACGCACGCACACACACACACGCACGCACACGCACACACACACACACACACACACACACACACACACA